CCCCCAAGCCGCCAGGCCCTCGTTCTGCACTCTGCGAGCGGCTTTGTGGAGGGCCCGGCCCGTGCCATGTTAAACTAGGGAACGTTCGCTCTAGGTGAACCCCGACATCAAAACGTGAACACATTAAGGGCCTCCCTGGGGCACCAGGGGTAACCTCAGCACTGTGAAGCTACCGCAGCCCCCAGCACGAGCTGGATCCCTGGCCGGGGAGACCCAAAGGGAGTAGCCGACACCCCCCGCACCCCCACTGCTCCCCTCCCCGGTGTGTTTCAGTGGATCCACTGTCCTGCTCCCCGCTCTGTCTGGTGAGTCCTCCCCACCCCACCTTTGGCCTACCCCGCAGCTCTTACATGCATAATAAAATAAATCTTTTAAAAAATTAAAACAATAAAAAGTACCTCACTCCCAGGAGTGGGGCAAGTTCTTGCCAGCAAAAGCCTCCCAAGGGGGGCAGCTGGTCTGGGAGCAGGCACGGGGCATCCTGTGGCAGCCACCAGCTCCGAGGCCCGGGGGAGCGGGACAGCCCCGACTCTCCAGAACCCGCCAAGCCCCGCGCCTCTTCCAGACCGGCCTCGCCCACCTGGCGCCCCGGCGACCCGAGGTATCCTGAGCTCTGAGAGGCAGGCGGCACCCGGCCGCCCGGCCGCGACACTCACCACGCAGCTGTACTCCTCGTCGTCCATCTCCTTCACCTTCAGGCAGTATGACTGTGGGGCGGGAAGTCGGGCGTGGGCAGCCGAGGCCTCCCGGCACCCCCCGCCCCGCAGGGATCAGGGCAGACCCCGCCCAGAGCCCAGGCCACTCACCAGGTACTCAAACTTCACGTCCAGGTACTTCTTGATGGTGAGGCGGGTGTCCGGGATGGCTTTGTTGAGGTACGTGTTCAGGTCAGTCAGCATCTGCGGGAGGGCGGGGGTCGTGGGCTCCGCTGGACGCCTCCCGGCCGCCCTTGCCCGTGTTGAGGACCAGAAGTCAGGTGAGCACGGCTGCGGCTGGGGGGCCGGGCAGGGGCTGCCGGCCAGGCCGGGGGACGCTCCGCCTCCAGGCCTGGCCCGGCCACCTACCGGCGTGATGGTCTTCAGCAGCCGGATGCCGAACTTCTCGATGCTGCGGTGGGCGTCGGCGAACTTCACAAAAGCCTCGCTGGCTGCTGGCTGGGGCTCCCGCACCCCAATCACGGAGAACACGTCCCCAAAGGCTGCGGGACAAGTGTGCCCTGAAGGCCGTCGACCGGGCCCCAGGGGGACGCCAGGGCTCACTGGGTCCCACCTCTCCTCTCCCCGGGAGGGGCCACCCCTAAGGGAGGCGAGTGGACAGCCAGAGGCACTGGGTCTGCGCCCCACAGAGCTGACCTACGCCCCGGGGCAGGCCCAGATCCCTGCAGGAACCGGCCCACACCCTCAAGGACTCCGGGTCTCTGACCCCAAAGGAACTGGCCCGCCCCGGGGGCAGCCGTCGGGGACCTGCTCGGGGACCTGCTCGCTGGCCCGCGCCAGCTCTGCCTCCGCCGAGGCCTCCGGCAGGGCTGCAGCCTTTCAGGGCCGGCTGTGTGCACGCAGGCGGCAGGGCACAGACGGCCGGCTCTGGGCAGGTGGCCGCGCCCCACCCCGGCCCCATCTTCTCCGCATCCCGGCCCGGCCGAGGCCCGCGAGCGTGGCAGAGTCCCCGAGGAGGGCTCGGCCACACCTTCACTGGCGGGGGTTGCTGAGCTCGGAGGGGCGGGTTTGGGGGCGCCCTTACCCCGATGTGTCTGCGACAGCTCATAAAAGGCCCGGAGGAGGTTCTTGGTGTGCTCCGTCATCCCTGCGGGAGACACGGACCAGGGGCCGTGGCAGGGGCCACACTGCCGGGGGCAGGCCCCCAGCGTCTGGGAGGCCCCCCAGCCCCACATGAGCCGCCCTCGGGAGGCCAGGCCCCGCGGGGGAGGGGCGCGCTCTTTTCTGGAGAATTCTAGCCGCGGCCCTAGGCCGGGGTACGCCCAGCAGCCAGGGGCGAGCGCCCACCTTTATACAGCTCCGCAGTCCGCTCCAGCTCCTCCAGTCTCTTGACCAGGCCATCTGCGGGGTCAGGGAGAAGGTGAGGGGCCCCGAGCCAGGTGCAGGATGGGAGGCGGCCCGGCACAGGCGGTCCCGGGTGGGGATGAGCACCGCCAAGGCTAAGCCCCACCCTGGCAGGCCCCGGGGCACGCTGGAGGCGGCTGGGCGACACGATCGCCACGCATCCTGCATCCGTGGCGCCGCGGCTGGCCAGCCCAGCGGCCGAGGCTCCCGAGGAGGGAGGCGGCCACAGAGGCGAGCGCCGGGCGTGGAGGGGGGACCGTGGGGCTTCAGGGAGGCGCCTGCGCGGACCGAGCCTCGGGGCGCCGCGCGTTTGCTGAGAGCTGTAGACTGCGCGCCGAGGTGCAGATGTCTGCGGGGCGCGGACACTGGACACTGCCGCAGGCCCAGCGAACGGCCAGTGGGGAGGCCCACGTCGCGCCCCGGGGGTCACGGCTGGCCGGGCGACTGGCCGGGTGACAGGGCGGCGGGAAGAGGAGGGTGGCGCATCCTCGCTCATGGGAGCAGGCGGACGCCAGTGGGGCTGGCCGGGGCAGGTGCTCGGGGGGCCGGGGGCCGGCTCGGGGCCCCGCTGAGGGCCGGGCGGGCTGTGGGCTGCAGGGCCCGGCGCCGTGAGCGCTACCCTCCTCTGCTCAGGGATGAGGTGACACCCTCCTCTACCCCAGGGGGCACCAGCACCTGGGGCAGGGGCCTGGGGCCACTCCGGCCGCCTCCCCGCACCCCTGCGCCCTGCCCGGTAGCGGCCCGCTCAGCCTCTCCGCCGCCCTCCGCCGCCCGTCTTCTTGTGGCCTCTGGCAAGGCCCCTTCCCGCAGTTCTACCTGCCAGGCAGCAGCAAGCCAGGTGTGCTCTGCCCCAGCCCCGGGCAGGGCAGGCGGCTGGGCTGTGAGCGCTGCGGCTCTGGGGGAAGCAGGGGGGCCCCCACGCCCCCCCAGGTGCTCAGGAGGCTGGGCCACCTGGCTGGCCCCAGGTCGGGCCCTGACCTGGCACCGAGCCCGCGGCAGGGAGGAGCCACGTCAGCACCGCACCGTTGTTTTTAGCTGGGTCATGGGACATCATGGCAGCCTCAATTTTAGAAACCCTATTTAAGGCCAGGGAAATTGCAAGGTTTGGGGGGAAAAACACAACCACCAGTTCTAATTTCATCTCGACGCATGGTGACTACAGGACCAGGGATTTATAGACACCAAGTGGCCGGAAATAGCAGCCGCCACTTCTGGATGCCACTTGGAACCGGCTCAGACCCCACCCCCGCCGCAGCCAATAAGGCGTGTGCCCAGCTGAGCCCAGGCCGCATGGGTATTTATACCCACCCACACAGGCAAGCTCGCGCTATTTATAAACGCAGGCTGGTGGCGGCAGGCGCAGGCGCTGCTGAGGCGGCTTGCAGCGCCCCCTCCTGGGGACCGGCGTGGGGGGGGGGAATGCAGGGAGGTGAGGGCCAGGGGGCGCTGGGGTGGGGGTGGGGCAAGGGCGCCTCCCGCTGTGGCGGGCTGTGACCCTGGTGGGGGGGTGAGGTGAGGGTACTTGGTTACTCAATGGGCACTCTCAGGGCTGCCCTGAGATGGGGGAGGCAGGTCCCCGGGGAGCCAGGGCCAGCCCAGAGGGGCCCGGGGCTGGACGCACGCCAATGCTCCCCGTCTAGGCCCTGCCGGGGGTCAGCGGCGGAGGCCGGGACTCACCATTGCACAGAATGGCCCGGCTCAGGCCCAGGGCATCTGCGGTCCCCGAACTCATGTTCTCCACCAGCCGGTGCTTCACCTTCTTCAGTACTGGGGTCAGAACAGAGCGGGCTCAGCGGGGCCCCTGGCAGCTGGCCCAGCCTCATGATTCACTGGGAGCGACCCTCAGTGGCAGGCTGAACTGGGGTTTCACACAGGGTTGACTATAAATTGAGTGTCCCATTCGGAGTACAGGGCCCCCTGCCCCCCCTCCACTTCGGAGAGGGGGCTGGAAGGATATGAGCGTGTAAGAGCCCCACCAAGGGCGGGACCGGCCGGGGAGAAGCTGCCACCAGAGCCCAGAGCAGCCAGGGCCACTGGCTGCGGGCGGCCCGCATGGGGCTGAGAGCTAGCGGTGAGAATGGAGGTGGGCGCAGGCTCTGTTCTTCACGTGTGGTGGCGTGCTCAGTCCTTAGCTGGGCCCGGTGTTCTAGACTCAGTCGGGCCCTGGCCTGGGCTAGGAGACAGCTCTGGCCCCAAGGCTGCGAGATGTGAGAGGGCACAGAGCCCTCTCTGGCCTCAGGCCTGGATCTGTTATGGGGGGCTGGTCCAGAGGACCTCGAAACCACTGGCCTGTTCTTGAGTCTTGAAGCTTCCACAGAACCGAGACCCAGGCCCTCAAGCAGGGGGCACCTTGTGCCAGGCCTGCTGTGGGCAGGTGGGGCTGGCCAGTGGCGCTCTGCCCAAGGCCTAAGGTCCAGCTTCAACCCTGAGCCTCCCTGGGAACAGGAGGGTGGCAGGCCAGCGCAGAGTTGGGGTGTATAGGTGGCCACGAGGTGCCAGGCCAAGGCGCTGCCCTCCCTCAGAGTAGAGGGCCTGGCCTTGTAGCTGGGGTCAGCCCAGGGCAGCAAGTTGGGGGGGCAGGTGGGGGTGACACTCTGGGGGGGGAGAGGCCAGCAGAGGCTCCTGGCCACAGAAAGAGGGCATGCGCCCGGGCCCTCCTGGCCCCAGGGTCGGGCTTGGGCAGAAGAGGCGGAGTCCACAGCCAGGCAGCCACGCCCTGTCATCTGGGGCAGGGCAGGGCGGGGCAGGGCTGCTGGGCACTTACCGATGTCCAGAGACATGCCCTGCTTGGGGTCCGCCTGCAGCTTGTTGTAGTGAATCGTCACTTCCCCCTACAAAGTGGGGCGGGCTGAGCTGAGCGGGTGTCCCGGGCCCAGGCCCCTGCCCCCGAAGGCCTGCTGGCCCTGGAATCCGTGGTCGCGAGGGAGCCCTAGGCCTGGACAGCTCGGGACAGGGCGGCTCTGAGCTCAGAGCTCCGGGCTGAGGGCTGTGACAGGGGCTCCCCGGACCCCTCCTCTTGCCACGTGCCAGGCCCCGGGGAATCGGTGGGGACAAGGGGTCATGGCCCCTGCTGTCACAAACTCGGGACGGTCACCCATGTCCCGAGCCCCAGTCAGACGGGCGGCCCGCCCCGGCGCCAGCTGCCCGCACCCTTCACCCAGTCATTTCCCTGCACAGAATATCCGCTCCTGTGTTCTAAGCACCCCACGCTCAGTCCCCTCACCCCGCCATGGGCACACCTGGGCGCTGGCTCTGGGTCACGCTGGGAGGCCCAGGAGGTGCGGGGCACCCCAGCCCCCCAGGCCCCAGGCTGGCCGAGGAGGCACATGCAGGTGGGGATGCAGAGGGAGCAGAGCAGCGCCAGGTCTCCCGGGAAGCCGCCCTGACCGTGCGGGACCCACGGCTGCTCTCACCCTCGCGATCCCAGGCCCCTGCTCGGACTGAGTTCACTCAGATGCACAGCAGGTGCTCGGACTGAGTTCTGAAGGGACCCAAACCACTGACGCGGGCCAGAGTTGGGGAGCGAGGCGACCCCAGAAGCAGCGCACGTGGGCCGCAGCTGCAGGCGGGAAGGAGTGCTGTGGCCAGGGCCCGGCCGGCTCCTGTCAGCTGTGAGGTCACAAGCAGGTATTTCCTCCCTCTGGCACCATGCTGCGGCCAGTCACCCCTGCTGACCCAATCGCGGCGCTGAGGAGGGCCCTGCCTCGGCACCCAGCACACACGCGGACAGCTCGGGGTCCCAAGGCGCGAGGCGGGAGGCGCAAGAGGCCGCGGAGACCAGCGCCGCTGATGAGCGGGCCAGGGAGGGCTGCCACGCCCGTCTGGGTGGCTCCACACCCCACCGCCTGCTTTCGGGGAGCTCCCGGCCCCCGGGGGGGAGCCTGTCCCACCCTCGTCCTCCCGGAGCCCCAGCCCTGACCCGCAGCTAACAGGTCTGGAGCAGGAGACAGTACAGGACTGACCCCTGCTCCCTGAAGGCAGGAGGGAGCGAGGTGGGGACGACCCGGGCGGGGCACAGGCGAGGGCAGAGGGGGAAGGCGGGAAGCCGCTGGCCCTGGGGTGGAGGAGAGGGGACCCTGGACAGGTCCTTACAGCAGGGAGGGGCTGGGGTGAGGGCGGCCGGGCAGGGGGTGCTGTCGGACCCAGCGCCCCTCAAGCTCACCGCGCAGTCGGCCGTGACTCAGACGTCACATCACCCTGTGGCTCGGCGCCTCCCGCTGCGGACCAGTGCCCCGAGGCGATGAAGCAAAACCCCCGGGAAGCAGCACTGGCTATCTCCCGCCCAGGTGGGCCCCCCACGCGCTTCGGCTGCGGCCTCGCCCGACTGGGACTCTGGCCGGCCTGCGCCGTCCCTGGGGCGGGAGGACGGGGCCTCTGCGCCACGGCGCCCCTGGGGCCACCTCCTATTGGGCAGGCGACAGCAGGAGCAGAGGGGGCTGGACTGTGAGCAGGGGCCTGTGCGCCAGGAGGGCAGCAGGTGGCCACCCCCTTGCGGGCCTTGGGGGCCACTGCAGGCTGGGTGAAGGTCCGCGGGCATGGCTCCCGTGTCAGCACTTACCTTCACTTCCTGGATCATCTTGGCCACCTCCACCTTCGTTTTTCCTTTGATTGACCTGCCATTGACGCCAGTGATCTCGTCGCCAGCCGCCACCGTGCCGTCCAGGGCTGCAGGGGTATTGTCGAATACCTGGGCAGGCAGGGGAGCCCAGGGGACCCCAGTCATTGCCTGCACCCCGACTGCACCTGCCCTCCAGTCTCTCGAGGGGCACAGAGGCGGCGGGTGGGTGGGAAGGCGCCCCCAGCCCCTCTGAGCTCCGCCTCAGACGTGTCCCCCAGGGCTTCCAGCAGCACGCTCAGCACAGACTCAGAGCCCGAAGCGCCTCAGGTCAAGCCCTGTGCCGCACCAGGGCCGCCAAAGAGCTGCACCTGACTGTATGTGCGTGCCCCTTTTCCACGGGGACCCCCCGCCCAGTCTGGGCTCCCTGGCTGTGCGGCTGGCATGGCGGTGAGGGCTCCTGCAGCGTGTGCACACGGCTGGGCACGAGGACACCGAATCACACCGGAAACAGCGCCAGTGACAGGCAGTGGTCGGTGTCCCCTACACCACCTCTGGAGTCTAGCTTTTCTAAGCAGCAGCAAGAGCACGTCAAATGTTTCAGCGATGCAATACCGCAAGAAGTGAAACAGTTAGGGTGCTTTTTTCTGTGACCTTCTAGAATCACGCTAAAAATTCAGTAACTGTCTACAGAAAGAAAAGAAGAGGCTGTGAGAGGCAAGGAGAGGCGTCTGCTCTGCGAAGCTGGCGCAGCGGCGAGCCGAGGGCCTGCGGGCTTTACTCAGAGCTCGCTGACCTCTGCTGCAAATCGCCAGGTCGGGAACTGGCCTCTGGGAGCAGCCCAGAGGTCTGGATGCCGCACGTAAGAAGGTTGAGGAGGACCCGACCCCATCCCCTCCCACACGCCCCCCCCCCACCGTTCCTGGGGAGAAGCCCAGGTGCATTCGCTGGCCGCTCCCAACTTTGGGGCCAGGACGAGAGGGAGATGGAAGGGAGGCGCTGGCCTCAACTAGGACATAAGCCCCCCCTGGTGGCGCAGGGGTCACGACTCAGCACTGTGAAGCTCTCCACAGCCACTGCGGCACAGGTTCGATCCCGGCCAGGGAGGGACCCACATGGCGCGGCAGACCTCTCCTGTCCTGCCCGCCGCTCCCCTCAGCAGCATATTTCAGTGGATCCGCCTGTCCTGCCCCACTCGGTCTCTGGGGGAGACTCTCCCCTGCACCTCTGGCCTGTGCCCCTGCTCTTGTATGCAGAAATAAGTAGACACATCTTTTTAAAAGTAAGTTAATAAAATGGAAGGTGCCGAGGATGCCCTGGCGAGGAAGGTGAGCGAGAGGTGGCGGACGCAACAAGGGACACGAGGAGGCCTGAAGCGACCGCCGGGGGTCCTGGGGGAGGGCGCCGGGCGCAGGCACGCCTCCAGGTGATGCAGGGAGGCTCACGGCCGGCACAGTGCTCCCGGCAAAGCACCTGGCACCGCAGACGGGCGGCCGCACTCAGGGCCTTCGGCGGGCTCTCCGGCATGGCGGGGCAAAAAGGCGCTCCTGGGGTCTTGGCAGTGCAAGGATAAAATATGCTACAAAGAGGGGTTCGCCCAAGAGAACAGCATCATCACGCCCCCTCAGCGAGCGAGCAAACCGCCAACCCCAGGTGAAGATGCTCTTCACACCTCGCGCAGACCAGAAGCAAGAGGAATCGGAGTATCAATTTAAAAAGACAGGATAATGACATTTTCTGGGAATAAGACCTCAAAATTATGATCTCCCCCATGGCTTTTCTCAGGGGAATGTGCCCCATGGGCAGAAGTAAACCAAGAAGGGGTGGGGGCAACAGACACAGGCAACAAGGTGACGGAAGTGTCTGAGGAAAGAGCACCGAGGACGCACAGGGAATGCAGGCTGGGCAAGGAGAAAAACAAGAAGAGAAGAGAAAGAGGCAGCGCCATGAGGAAAGACAGTTAAAAAGAAACACGTTTCTCAAATGGCTAAACACAGATACCACATGACCCAGCAATTCCACTCTTGGTGGAGTTTCCAGTTCCCAAAGAAGTAAACACACATCTCCACATAGCAATTTGTGTAGAAAGATTCTCTGCAGTGGCCTCATGACAGCCTCACAATGGAAGCAGCCCATGTGTACCAACAAACAAAAGCATGAAGCGGTGGAATATTACTCAGCCGTGAAAAGGACAACATGCTTGAATGAACTTTAAAAATATTACACCGAGTGAATGGAGCCAGACGCCAAAGGTGACCTAGAATGCGATTCCTCCTATGTGAGATATCCAGAGAAGACAGATCCACAAGCCAGAGGGCAGATTACCAGTGGGTGGGGAGACCAGAAGCAGGAAATGAGGACTGACGACTTAACGGCTATCAGGTATTCTTCTGGGTGATAAAAGTTCTGCCGTGAGAAAGAGGTGGGACTGCATCTAGCGGTTGCAGTAAATGCCCTGAACTGTAAGAGTGCTAATGTACGCTATGTGAATTTCATGATTAAAAAAAGTATATTTTAAAAATCCGTCATAGAAGACCCATAGGCTCATTCTATAAAATACAAACGCACCTCAGAGAATCAGCCCCAGACCACAGCAACAAAGCGACACATGGTAAAGCAAGTCCCATAAATATCTGGGGTTGCCAGTGCACAAAAAGTTCTGTTTGCACCACACTGCAGATGACGAGGTGCGCAACAGCATTATGTCCAGGGAAAACAATGTACAACCGTCACAGAAAAACGCTTGAGGCTAGCATCCAAGCTACTGGAAAATGACGTGCCAGACGCAGGGTCACCCCGAACCTTCAATTTGTGGGGACGTCTGCAGGGCGCAATCCTGAGCTGCGCGTGTAGTGTTAAAAGGCACGGACGTTTGCGTCTGATTCAAGCCTCTACTCCATAGGTTTGTGGTCTCTCCACCACCCTTGTGCTCACACCAGGACTGGCAGTTCTGCTGAGTCACTAAACACCTTTTCCTGAGGTCTGCTACGTGCCGGCGCTGTACGAGGTGCTGTTGACTGCAGTGGAAAAGCACACTGGCTTCCTGCCCTCAGAGTGCAAAGATCCTGCAAACGCTGCTAAATAAGGAACAGGTTACCAGTGAGCCCAGACTGCGGAAGGCAGCGAGTGCTGAAAGGGAAGAGAGCAGGCTGGAATGGGAGAGAAGCAAACGCAGACCCACCGAAAGGGGCTCTCTGAGGACGTGACCCTCGATACTGAGAAGGAGCCATGCCTACGCAGGCAGAGATGAACCCCGCCGTGCCAGCCCAAGTTGGGAGGTGCCTGTCCCTTCCAGGACCTCACCCCACCGCCAAAGCACCTGGACAATGTAGAGGCAGGGACAGTACTGGGCCCCGCCGCCAATGCTGATCCCAATCAGGTTCTGGGCATCCTTCTGCAGCGTCACCTTCCCGGGCACTGTAGGGATTCCGCTAGAAAGAGAAGAGCACGAGGCTGAGTCTCCTGGAGGAAGGGAGAGCGGGGGCACAGGTCCTGCAAACCACCACCCCAGCCTCCACCATCTTTTTGCTTAGCCAAAAAGACAGCACTCTGGGCTGGACCACACATGGCTCTTGGAATCATGAACGTGTGAAGTCAAACCTGCCGCTCATCTGCTGTGGGATTTGGGTAAATCACCCTGTCTGCATCTGCTGCCTCATCCATGAAACGGTCCTTGTAAGAAAGTGCGTGAAGGCACCCTTCCCTGCCCACAGGGTGCTCCATGAAAACAGGCCCTTCATTCTGCCTCTCAGGTTGGAGGGAGACTGCCCTTGTCAGCCTCTCAGTTACCTGTGGTCACCTCGCCTGGGAAGCCTTAATTTAAAGTACCCATCGCACAGCTCTCCACTGCTCTACTTGATTGCCTCTCCGTTTTTGGAGTTAACAGGTATTTATGCTTTAACGGCAAACATTTCCTGTTACTCACTTACTCATTCAAAAGCCATTTGTTAGCAAGCCACTGATGTCGAGCACCTCAGGTGCTGAGGACACGGAGAGGCACTGCACCCAGCCGGCGCTCTGAGGGAGGGTGTCCCACAATGGGGAGACAAAATCAATTTAAAAATTAACCTGCCCCACTAGTCATCTACAGCGGGGCAGTAGTTATGTTTCTGGTACTTCTACTCATCTTCAAAATCCGAACTGCCACCTCCTCTGACGCCTTCCCTGAGTACCCCAAGAGAAGCACTGTTCCAGCTGCTCCGTTTCCTTGCAGCTCTCCATCGGGGCAGAGTGGAGCTGTGTCATCTGTTAAAGCGTCCACAGCCCCTGCGGACAGTGACCCCTGGAAGGGCAGGGTCCATTTCTGCAGCAGCACGAGACCTAATCCACTGCAAGGGTGTGTGGAACTGGAAGTCCTGGGATTTGAGGCACCTGCACTCCTAGGGCTTGGGGAAACCAAATACTCACAGTTTATCCTCCTCGATGTCATAATCCAAGTCTGCAAACATGGTTCCGAGAGTTGAAGTGGGCTGGCTAACCGCCCAGATCGGCAGGGGGATGGGAAACTGGATCCAGGAGAGAAGGGAGCGTAGGGCTGAGGAAAGCGAAGTGCCTAGATGCCTGCCCCAACCTAGGCGATCCAGGAGCACGGGCCCTCCGTCTTCTCGACAGACAGTGCTGGGGTGGGCAGGTGGTTCTTACGAGGTAAGGGGGGGCACTCCAGGCCACGGCGGTGGACTCAGATCCCAGAGCCCGCTCCACGGGTCTCGAGGCCCTTGGAGCTGTCTCCGCCGCTCACCGGAAACGTCGGTCCCACGGCCGAGTCCGGGCCAGGCTGGCACCTGAACCCACCTGCCGTTCCACCTGTCGGCGGCCGCGACTGTCGCGTCACTTCCGGCAGTACGCGGAAGTACCGCCTTCCGCCTCTGGCTCTGTGCTCCAATCCCTAATGGCAGCCCTTCTCTCCCTGACTCCCGGGGCTCCCAGACCAGGAAAGAGAATAAATATTGACGGAAGCTCGTCGTTAGCGTGAATAAGCGGAAACAGAAGGACAGTCTGGACAAGCCGAGGACGCAACCCCGCCCCTTGGCCCGTGGCCGCCGCCATCTTGGTAGGGGCAGGGCTCTTCCCAGCTTCCTCAGCGGGACGCCCGGGACTAAGCCGGCGGGCCGGTTGCCGTGGCAACGGAATCTTCCCTGGGCCGGGAGATCACTGGCCAGATCCAGTGGACCACAGACAGACCTGCCTGCTTCCCTTTCCCACCTTCAGCACCGCGTCCTGAGGTGCCATCACCCCTCTACAAGAACGACAGAGTCAGACCTGATCAGACCTGGAAGGGCCCTTCACCCCAGTTTTGCAGATCAGAAACCTAAGGACCGGAGAGGGGGAAAATTTTGTCCAGAGCCAGTCGGTTACACTGTCGAGATCTTGACCCTGAGACTGCTGCCGCCTGGCCCCGCCCCCTCTTTACACCTGTCTCGTTCCCTGGGTCCGCTATGCTATGAACGCCAGATGGGGCAGCTTCCCACCCGTCCCCTTCCTGCGCCTACTGTCCTCGCATGCATGCTGAGCGCCTCCAGCACCCTAGGATTTCTGGTGCAGGGCTCCTCACAACCCATCTCCTTCCTGAGTCCTGAGGAGCAGCAGCTCCAGGGTCCCACTGAGGGTCACTGCTCCCCTGTACCTGAGACCCAGGAAATGCTGTCAGTGCCTCCACTAGAGCAGTCGCATCTCTTCTCCTCGCCAACCTCTGCTGCCACTGCGGTTGTGCACAGTGGGTTCCCTGGAGGGTTTGGTGCTCCCAGAGCCATCGCCTAGCAGCACTCACCCAGGCGGTGTGGACCCAGGCCTGTCCAGCCTCCTCCCCTCGCAGCCCCATGGGCCGTGGAGAAAGGACAGAGGCAGGAAGGTGACCATGCACGCATCCCAGTGGCAACCCCACCCCACAACCCCTTAGGGAGCTAATGTGCGGCTGCGCAGAGGGCCGCCGTGGCCACAGCCTTCCCAAGCACCCAGACCTGCAGCTCCCAGCGACCCTGGGAGAGGAGAGCCGGTAGTGTGGCCATGTTGTCAGGCAAGGAAGCAGCGGCTCCCCGGTCTCTCAGGGGGTCCGTGGCAGACCTGGGGCTGTTCAGGCCAGAATGTAGGTTTTAGAAAGCAGCAGCCTCCGGACTTGGACACGTCATCAGTGTGAGCAGCGTCTGTGCACACTGGGGCTGCTGAGGTGCGCAGATCCCTGCCCCAGGGGCCTCGCCACCCAGGGCCCCCAGGCCGTCTATGGACCTGGAGTCCAGGAAGTCTGCCTGGAGGAAGCAACATCCCAGCTGAGCCCTGAAGGCGGTGCTGGTGGTACCCAGAAGGCCAGGTGACAAGAGGGGCGCAGCTGTTGCAGGCGCTGGGGGCACAACACGGCCCCAGGGACTCGCAGGGCGGCGGGGTCAGGCAGTGCTGGTAGCCACAGGTATGAGGAGGCCACCGTCCCACCTCTGCCCCAGTCATGCCGAGAGGGGCCCAGAGGGGAGGTCTGAACACTCTCTCAAGGATGGGTAGGATTCCGGGGCGGTTAGGGGGCCGAGGACATCCATCTACTCCCAGGGCGCAGAGCCAGGCTGGACCCCCAGGAGCTCCCCCGCAGAGCTAGCTCCCCCTCCTCCTCCGGCCAGTGCTGCCCCTCAGTCCTCCCAGGCAGGCAGGTGACCCTTCATCCGGCCAGCGCCTCCCCCAGCTGAAAGCCGCGTGATCCTGAGGAAGTCCCAGCCCCTCTCTCGGTCCCCTTCTAAGTCCCCACTGGCGCCCCAGGGTCAAGCCCCAGCAGGCCCACACTCCCGGGGCAGTGCTGCCACCCCGTGGCCGTTGGCAGGAACAACACCCGGGGCCGAGCGCCAGCTCAGCGCCGCCGCCCACTCCCGGCCCGTGGTGTCCCGCCGCCCTGCCCAGCTCAGCTCCCGCTGCTCCCGCCCCCGCGGTCCACAGTGAGCGGCGGGGGGCTGTGGCCCCACGCAGGGCCTGAGTCCTCCCTGACTCACCGCTAGCACCGCGGGGCCCGGAGCCGCGGGGGTGGGCTCGGTGTCTCCTCTGCCGCAGAGATTTGGAGCAGGGCTTTAAATTCGAATAGTAACGGGCAGCTCGCTCTTCTTGGGCGTTTATTCTGGGCCAGGCCCCGCGCCAAGCAGTTTTCATTCATTACCTCATGCAAGCCTACCGCCACCCTCGGAAGTGGTGCTGGTCCCTCCCACGCTGTCACCCTAAAATACGGATGGAGCAGCTCCCGCGCCAGGCGACTGGACACACGAGGGACGGGACGGGACGGAGCGAGCGGGCACGCCAGCCCCTCCGACCCGACCCGGCAGAGCTGGCTCGCTGGGAGAGGCGCAGGCATGAATGAAGCCCAGATGGGCCGCCCGCCCGCTGGCGGCAGCTGGCAGGAGCTGGGACCAGCGGGCATGTGGCAGAGGTGGTGGGAGTGGGGGCCCCTGACGCTCGCCGGTGAGGTTGTGTGGGGGGCGCAGGGGGCTCCCCTGGGGAGCTGGGGGCGAGTCTGGGTGAGTCTGGCTGGAGAGGGGTCAGAGAGGCTGGGAGGGTCGAAGCCCTGTGCAGGGTTATCCCCTTTCCCAGAGGGGACACCGGGGTGCTGCAGCTAGGTTTGGGTCCGTAGGTCTGGCCCACGCTGGCTCTGCTCTCGGGGCTGCACGGTCCTGGCCTTCCCAACCCGGCGCACTCTGTTCCTTGAGTGGTGGGCGCAAACCCCGGCCCAAAGGGGGCCCAGCGGGAAGGGGCATGGCTGTGAACGCCCGGGAGCTCCGGGGGCTGCTCAGAGTCCGGGGTGTTGGCTGCTGACCCCACCAGCTGCGTGAGCCTCCGTGCCGTGGGTGAGAGCAGCGTCCTGAGAGCCGCGTGTGGGCTCTGAAGTGAAGCGCTCCCCCCTCCCCTGCTCACGCCCTCCCAGCACGCCCCCCTCCTCCCCACTCTCATGCTGTTCCAGGGCCTCTGCCCCTGTAGCTCCTCCTGGCCTGGAGCATGCTTCGCCCAGGTGTGCTCAGTCGCTCACCTCATCTGTTCTGACCCAGCCTGGACCCCCATGGGGCCCCCCAGGAACACCCCGTCTCGGCTCGTCTGTCAGGAGGGGCCGCCGTTTCCTGCAGCCGCAGTGCCTGTGGGGTCACGCATTTGTCTGTTTCCCTGTCAGTCGGTTCCCCAGGGCAGGAGCCGGGCCGTGGGGCAACGGTGCCACCCTCAGCACCCCCACCGTGCCCGGCGCATCATAACGTGTGCCCACTTGCCGGGGGAGCGGACAGCCCACTTCGCGAGCAGCACCCAGAGCCAGGCAGGATCAGGTAGCAGAGGCTGCAGGTTCCAGACGGCCCCTGGAGTCCCTCTGGCTTGGCGCTGGGCTCGCTAGGCTGGCCAGAGCCTAGAGGCTGTCGCTTGGGGTGGACGGAGGCCTGTGTGAGGTGGAGGAACCCGGCAGGGGCGAGTCTCCCCTCCCCTGAAGCCGAAGCAGGGCTGGGGGGCAGGCATGCCAGGGACATGGGTTTGGGGAGAAGGGAGCCTTGGCCTGGTGGACCAGCCCTGGGGCCACGGTCCTCACCAGGGACAGGAAGCCTCTCCCACTAGCTGGGCAGACCGTGGGTGGAGGCTGACCGGAGGGGTTAGCACTGCTCGGAGGCATTTGCAGCCTTCCAGAAGCTTTGAGTGTGCCATGGCCCTCATTGTTTTGGGGTGCAAGGCAATTCTCTCCTCAGCTGTCTCCCTCCTGCCTGCTGCCTCTGGCCAGAGATGGGATGTGGGCTTCCAGGGGCCCCAAGCGGCCATCCCTGGCTCTGCTGAGCCTGTCATGGGCGACCCCTGACCTCCCGCCTCCTGCTGTGCCTGGGCTAGGGCAGTGATGAAAGCCAGTGGAGCCTGGGGGCGGGGAGCAGGACAATGCCCGATTGTTCCCCACCCTGGCATCTCCCTCTCCCTCCCTCCTGCCCTTTCTCTAGGTAAGGGGTCTCAACCCAAGTGGGGAGCGGCCCTGCAGATGTCAGGGCCCCCCGAGACCGCGCCAGTCAGCAGGCTATGGGTGGGCTCAGACGCAGGCCTTGGATTCTGGTCAGACCCCACTTGGGGAAAGTTAGGGACCCAGCCGGGGACCTGGGGTGCGGCCGGCCTCCTGAGCCCCCAGTGGATGTGATGGGGCCGTAGGACGCTGAGGGGGAAGGTGGCTCTGAGGAGACTTCGAGGATGGCATGTGACCCCAGTGTGAATGCCTGCCCAGCCTTCCCACTGACCGGACGTGCCCACTTCAGTGCCCACGTGCCGGGTCCGTGCCCAGCTGCCTGTTGTCTCATCTTGCTGCGAATCTTTGCACCACGAAGTACCACCCTGGCTGGTCACGACAGCTTTATACTGGGCCTGAGACTGCCGGGCAGGCGCCCACCTTCCTCTCGAGCAGCGGCTCAGGTCCTCGGAGCTCTGCACCTCCTGGCTGCCTTCAGCATCAGCCCCAGAGCCCCAGAGCCCCACGGGGGTGCGATTGGGACTGCATCAGAGCTGGGAGGACGTCTTCATGACCCTGAACCTCCCGCATGAGTGTCGGGCTGTCTCTGTGCAATTGGTGAACTCTGCTTTTTCTTAAGGAAAATTTTAAATGTACCAAATTGGAGCTAAGATGATGAAGAATCTTTTCAATCTTTTACCTCGCCCCGAGCCTCACCAGTGATGCTTCACGGCCGGTCCATCTCATCCCTCACCCTGACCCCACCTGCTTTTTCTCCCACCCCACCATCCAGGATTTCGAAGCAAATCTTTGGGGTCTTTCAGTAGTATTTAATTTCCTCCAGTGGGGTGGGCGTGCGTGCGTTTGTCTTGTAATTTCCAAATAACTTTAGATAGACAGGAGGTTGCAAAAATAGTACCTAGAGGTCCCAGGGCCCTCACGCCCAGTGGTGTCTCCCAGGCCAGGAAATGAACAGCCTGCGCCTTCCAGAGTCCGTGCCCACCCTCACTCGCCACGCGTCACTCACCGTGGGGGGCCGCACAGGCTGTGCGGCCTGCACCTTGTCAGCTGTGGGTCTGTGCACCCCGCCGCGGCCCGCACCCTGACTGACTCACCTGACCGTGTTCCTCATGAGGGGTACGCCCCTCCCCGCCCAGCCCAGCAGCTGCTGCACCCCACCTCTCCGGTTTAGGCTTTGAGAAGATCAGATGGGGAACCTCGCGGGTGTGCCCTTTGGAGACAGACCTTGCCTTCAGTAGCACCCTCCTGGACGCCAACCAGGTGGTGCCACATCAACAAAAAGTCAGACCCTTTTCGCTGCTCAGTGACAGTCCCTGCGCTCATGGGTGCGGCTGTCTGACGAGCCACTCACTGTAGGATGCCGCTTCTGATTTTGCCTCTTACAAATAAAAGCTGCTCAGAGGTTCGTGTGGATGTGAGGTTTTGTTTCTCCGTCGTAAGTGACAAGAAATGGAGGTTTGGCTTTGTAAGACACCACCGTACTCTTACACCAATCGACATTTGATGCTTTTCTTTATAAATATTTGCTTGGATTTTTTTTTTTTTTTTGGTACAAGGAGAGTTCATTTTAATTTGCAGTTAGCTCTGATGTTTATAAATGCAATTTCTTTTATTGAGAGAGAATCAGTGCACCATGAAATTCATATTTTTTAAAAGATTTTATTTATTCATGCATACAGAACTGGGGTGCAAGCCAGAGGTGCAGGGGCAGTGAGAGGATTCACCAGTGACAGTGGGGAGCAGAACAGGCAGATCGACGAAGTCCACTGCTGAGGGGAGCAGCGGGCGGGTCAGGAGCGGTCTGCTGGCCATGTGGGTCACCTCCAGGGCGGGATCAAACTTGCACCGAGATGGCCACGGCTTGATGCCCTATTTCTGCTAAATATCTTTCATTATTTTAATAATTTGCCTCCAAGTTAGCTGGGGTTTCTGGGTAGACCCTCCGACCAGGGCTCCCACATTGCTGCTGGCGGTTCCGAGTCTCCTGCTCCAGCTGGGCGTCACATGAGCCGCTACAGAGATGGGTGGGTGCGGGGAGCGGCCCTCACCTTAAGGAGTGTGGCCCTGTTCCTTCAGGACGGTGCGTGTGCTGGTTTTCGTGGATGACCTAGATGAGTTTGAGGAAGGGTCCTTCCTAGCCCACGTTTGCTACAGCATTTTTATCCTAAGTGGGTGTTGAAATGGATCGCCTGTGCCAAGGTGATCGTGTGACCGTCCTCCCATACTTTACTAAGGGGACGAAGGACAGCCGAGGATTACCCCAGTGTCCGGGGCTGACCCAAGCTGCCACGCATCCTTTCCAGTCACTGCTGGATGCGTCTGGCTAGTGACTTATGATACAGAGCTCTTGCACCTATCTAACCCCACAAGCAGGACTGCTCTGGAATCTTCCTTTGAATGCTCTATGCGCGGAGGCGCCTTCTCTGACCTCCGCATCCCTGGGTCCCCCCCCCAGACACGCTGCTTTGTCTTGAGGGGTGCTCCTGTGCACGGCAGAGGGCGGGAGGCCCCTCCAGAACCCCCTCACCCCAGGGCAGCCACAGAGCATGAAACGGGGAGATTCTAGGCCCTGAGGCTTTGGAAGGGCCTATATAGAGCTGTGACCCCCAAATCAGTCAAGGGGCGGACGCCTGGGCCCCTCCTTCAACAGGGAGACTTAACAGAAACTTTCCTGCTGTTTGCCTTCAGGGGCAAGAGGGGGGAGCCCTCCAGAGGAAGTGGCTGAAAAGGGGCTGGGGTCAGGGGTTAATGACCCCATTATGCTCGGGCTGACTGATAGCCAGCCTGTCAGTAGCAGCGGGAGCAGCCGCCCCCAGGGACATCCCCTCCCCTGCCCAGACATTGGAGGGAGGGGTCCCTGCTGGCCTTTGATAACCACGGGGGTGGGGGGTGGGGTAGGGGAGGGGGGTGGGGGTGCCCTCCGACTGTGACCAGCCTCTTTGTTGGGGCACGTCTAGTCTGCTGGGACCCAGCACCCCAACTTCCTCTGCTTCCCCTCACCCCATTTCCTAGTACCCAGTGCCACAGAAGGTGGCAGTGGCGACTGTGACCAGGGACGCTGGCCTGCCTGGCCCCACCCAACCTGGCCCAGCCCAGCCTGTCCCTGCCAGCCCTGCTCACCTGTGATCAGGTAGAGCCCGACTCACCCAGATTTGGGGCAGGGAGACAGGCGTGGGACTGGGTCAAGGTTCCTTTCACCCAGAAGCAGAAGCCATGGCCATGATACAACCAGGAAGTCAGGGAGGCTTCCAGGAGGAGGCCAGGCCGCAGCAGGTGCCTCAAGGGTGAGGAGGTCAGTGGGGGCGGGGCAGCAGGAAAGGCACTGCAGGCCCAGGGGTCCCTACAAACAAAGGCACAGGGGGGAGTCAGGGCGGCATCGGACACAGGGGGGAGTCAGGGCGGCATCGGAGCTGCCCGCTCCGGGCCAGAGAGGGGCCTCGGGGGCCTCAGCCTCCGGGGTGGGCCCCGGGGTGCGCACCAAGGGCCAGGTCTCCAGCCTCCTTGACCCACCAGTTCTCACCGCCCCGGTGACCTCGGGGGTCACTTGCTCAAGAACAGTCTCCCGCGACCAGGCTGCGCTGGGCTGCCCAGTCCCATCCCCAAGTGGAACCAGGAAGACGGGGGTGGAGGGGCTCGGACACCGCTGGCCGAGGGTCCCTGACCACTGAATGTCCGGCTGAAGCGGGGCCCGGATAGGCCTGTCAGCATGTGGACAGACGGCACGGGGCCAGATGGGGAGAGACGGTCTCGTGGGGACAGGCGGCCACTTCCACAGGGGTGGCGTCCGCCGGCACCAGGGAGACAGGTCAACCCTGACCGCTCAACAGGACGCGGAGGTGGGCAGCCCCTCTGGGGAGCTCGGCCGTCCGCTCCCAGCCCCGCGGAGCACGCTGGGCCTTCCGGGGAGAGGGAGGATGCACAACACGACCCTCCCGGGTTCACGGCAGGCAACTGAGTGTTGAGACTGCTCGTTGCGGAAATCCGGAACTACAAGAAGCCAAGCACCTCAAGTGTGGGGGTACTGAATCCGCAACCCAGAAATAACTAAGGTTATGGTTGGGGCCCCCGGGTCCCTCTGAGGCATCAGCAGGTTCCTGTGCAACGCCACGTGCTGAGGGAATTGAGGGAAAGGTGTCCGCGTGGCCGTGAGCAGGGGAAGCCTGCACCATAGGGTTCATTCAGACACCTGCGTACACCTGCGTACACCTGTGCTGGGAGCTACTGAAGGGGACCCCACGGACGCAGGTGGGCACCGTGAAGCACAGGCCTGCGCTTTGCCAGAGCAAGGGGGCTCTTGTATGGTGACTGGTTTGGGGGGGGTGGAGGGGTTCATTCCTTTGTGGGATTTTGTCTCTTTGAGGTCAGGTGGGGTTGGTTCTCTGTGACCGATAATCCTTTCTGATCCCACCTCAGATTCCTGGAAAATTCCACAGCTGGTTTAAAACTGGTTAATCGTCCCCCCACCCCCACCCCTACCCCCCCGTTTTTGTGAGACCTGCCATCCTACATGTTTCCACTCCAAGCTCCCATCGGTTGGTTTCTGGGCCTTTTATAGGAATGGGGCTCTCAGCGTGGTTTCTGTTTTACTAAAGTTTTCTGTGAGTTTAGATCATTTCGCCCGCTGGTTTGAGATACCAAAACACTTCCTCAGTCATTAAAATTCTTCACGAGCGTCGTTTCTCCTGGCCGTCATATGCCGTCTAAGGTGCAGGGGCGGCGAGAGGATTCACCAGAGACGGTGGGGAGCAGGACAGGAAGATTCAGGAAATACACTGCCGAGGGCGGCAGCGGGCAGTCAGGAGAGGTCAGCCGCGCCCTGTGGCCGCCCCAGGCCGGGGACCGAACTCGCGCTGAAGCGGCTGCGGCCAGCCTGCAGTGTCGAGCCCTAACCGGCTGCACCGGGGAGGCCCGAGGCCGCCCTTTGAGGCCTTCTGTAGAGACCAAGTCTCACAACCCCAAGTCCCTCCGTTGCAGAGAAAAGGGGCCAGTGCAGACCCCCGCCTGCTCCCCACAGTGCCTATGCGGCTCTCAGGGCCAAGCCAGTCCTGTCCCCCTGCCAGCTGGGTCACCCCACCGCTACCCCAGGAGCGCCCCAAGGCGTCCTTTCTGCCGCCGTCAGCCCTGATTCTCTGGCTACGTATGTACGACCAGAGCCTCTCCTCCTCGGGCCCCCAGCTGTCGCCCACACCTGCCGCCTCTCCCACCACAGCGCTGTCCACTCCCTGTCCAGCACCGCACTCCCGTCTCCCCCGGCTTCTGTGAGGGGGCTCCCTGACCTCCTCCCAGCTGGGCCCCCATGCAGGTGGGCCTGGCCACCCCCACCCCGCCCCACCCCCGCTGGCGCCCGCTCTCCCCCACAGAGGGCTGAGTCTTGAACCGGCTCCAGGCCATACTCCCCCCCTGGGCTTCAGACTGTGTCCATCTGGAGGTTCCCGAGGGCTTCCAACCCCACCTGTCCACACCTGGACCTGCCCACTGCCCCTCCCCACCCTCCACCTAATTCCTGTCAGTCCACACCCGCCATCTGCTGATGCCCCAGGCCCCTCCGGGCCAGCCCAGGGCTCTGTCCAGCCCCTGGCAGGCTTCAGCCAGAGCCTTCGCTGTCCCTCCCGACTGGCCTTCCGGGTCTGTGGCAGCCCCTCTGGGAGCCCCAGATCTGCCCTGACCCCACCTCCCGCAGGAGAGTCCCTCTCCCTGGGCCAGGCCCTGGTCTCACGCCTGCACCATACCCCGCTGCCGCTGACGCCAGCCATGGCCACAGCACCACAGGGACACCCCCAGGACGGCTCCCGTGGCCCCCACTTGCTCAGGCCCAGCCTGGGGTCGCCTCTCCAAGCCTGCAAGAACTGGCTGTGCCACTCAGCCCTCCCCACTGTCACGGAGGTGCTGAGGCCACTATGTGCCCCCACCGTCCCCACCCAGGCTGGGAGCACCCCGATGGCAGCAGACCCCTGCCACGCGAGCTCCTGCGGGGGCAGCCCGTCTTCATTTTCCCTTGTAGCTTTATGAGGAACTGAGAAACTGGGGCTCAGAGAACTTGGGGGCTTGTCCTGGGACTCCCCTGGCCACACTCCTCACTCCTAGCTCACCCCACATGCAGGTCTCCCGCGCAAATGGGAGACTCATCACCCCCGGCCCACCCGTCCAGACCCCCAGACAGCACTCTCGGGCCACCTGACCGCAGCCAGGACCCCTCTGTCTTCTCACCCCGCACAAGGGCTGGCCCCCCACTGTGCCCCCACCCTGCATCCACACATGGTGAGGAGCAGGGACGGGCGGATGAGCCCTGACGGGGTGAGTGAGGCGGGTGCGATGCCTCCTTTCTCCTCCGATGCCTAACTAGCTCATGTGGGGGCCCCTGGGGACCCCACAGCCCCTGCATATCCTCATGTCTGCCGGGCATGGGGCAGTCACACCCTGGGCCTGGTGGGGCTTGGTCTTCACTCTCAGTTGGGGTGTGACGCGAGAAGCCTGGGGTGTGGCATCACGCCCAGAGGGGAGCCACCCCGAGCACCCCCAGTGCCCCCCCGGCAGCCATCAGTGGCTTGGGGGCCCGGCCCTGGGCTTCTGGGCCATCTGCTGACCCCCCCCAGACCCTCCCCAAACTGTCCCCGTCCCTTGCCCAAGCCAGGCAGGAAGCCCCCCAACCCGCAGGCTGGGCCTGACTGCTTCCCCCGGGCGGGGTGGGGCTGCCAGGGGGAGACGCCCAGGGCTGGGACACCAGGTCCAGGGGACCCACCCACTCCCCAGAGGTCCTGCTGCCAGCTGCGCTGCCCACCACAGGGCCGGCCCCTTAGAACAGGCCACAGGTCTTTTGGGGTGACAACCTCAAGGGCAGCCAGGGCCCTGGGGGCGGGGAGTGGCCCCGCTCGGGGCGTCGCTCACACCCGCTCCTCTGCGCCCCGCACCCTGCCAGACCCTTCCAGCTTCATCACCCCAGAAGGAAACCCTGAGCGCTTTAGCTGCGCCCCACCCCCTCGCCAGCCCCCGCCACATGTCCGCTCCGCGGGTGTGCCTGCCCCGGACACCCCAGGCCATCTCCCCTCAGCCTCCCTTCCGTGAAGGGTGCCGGGACCCCACAGCCCACAGCGCGGGGCGTGGCCTGCGCCAGCCCTGACGGAGACGGAGACGGAGGACAGCGGGCCCCGCCCATCCAGGAGCACAGCTCAGCTGTGCAGATGGGGATGGCGCGTTTGGCGAAATGAAGAAACACCAAGGAGTCGCCCAGAGCAGAGTGAGCCAGAGGGACACACAGGCGGGACCAGCTGGCCGGGGGAGCCTGCAAGGGCCGAGGCAGTGGACTGGCCAGCGGACCCGGATGCCGGCTGAGCGAGTTTACGGGCAAGTGAGGAGGGCCAGGAGGGAGCCAGGAGGGCACGCGGGACGGCGCTGGGCGAGGAGCCGAGACACAATGCCCGCGGCGGCCACCACACAGCGCGAGGAGCGGGCCTGCCCAGAGCAAGCTCGCTTCCCTGGACGCTGCCTCCAGGGCGGGGCTCCTGTCCAGCCTCTCACCCTGCTGCCACCCAGGTCTCCAGGCCAGACCTCTCCAGACTGGAGGACGGTGCCACGCCCACCCGCTCCCACGTAGCCAGCCCGATGCCAGCTTTCACCCCATCGGCCCGCCCAGAGAGCTGGGGTGTCCCTGCCGCCTCCCGGCCCTGGGCCTGCCCCCACCTCCCCCGGCCGACCTGACCGGTCACACTGCCAGCTGGGCTAAGGGTCCTGTGCAGCGCCCCCTGCCACCCCTCCTCCCACTAGCCGAGACTCAGCTTCCTGGACGGCAAAGCAGGGTGGCAGCAGCGTGACCTCGGGGTGGTGAGTCCGACGTACACACGCAAAGGGGTGAGCCCTCGCGTGCCCAGATGGCCACTGGCCTGGGCCCTGCCTGCTCCAGCCCCGCATAACGGTGCCAGTTCTGGAGCACCAGGGGCAGGCGGGACACGGAGCCCCCACAGCCCCGCCACCAGGGCGAGCTGGGACCCTCTTCTCATGGGTGGGGAAACTGAGGCCCAAGTGCCACAGCTGGGGCAACCCGTGGCTCGGGGCCCACTGTTGGCCTTCATGTGTTGAAAGACGCTCCCTGAGCGCCTGCTGGTGCTGGGCTCTGACCCGGGTGCTGGAAAACAGCCACAGCCCAGACCGGCACAGACCCAGCCCACAGGACCTTTCTAGAACACGAATTTTATCCCTGCAGAATCCTTCCGTGCCCTGGGGATCCGGTCCTTACCCTAAGGGTCCTCAGAAGGCCCTTCCACTGTCCTCTGCCGCCCCCGCCGCTCCAGCACGTGGCCTGTCCACCCCACACACCATCGCCGCTCCGGCCTTGGCCTCAACACCAGCACCTTTCCACCCTCTCTCTGTTTCCTGGTCTTCACAGTCACCTCCTCCAGGAAGCCTTCCCCCCCGGGCTCCCAGATGAGCCCCAGCCGCACCCCTCCTCCCCCAGCAGCGTGCTGGCGTCTTGTCCATTTGTGTCCCCTGGATCTCGGCTGGCTGAAGGCAGCCGGGTCCGTCAACACTGGTAAGTCTGCCGGCCCCAGGCCCCCTCTTCTGCCCCCATGTGGGGCCAGGTGAGCGCACGGAGCTGGGCTCCGTGTCGCCTTCTGGAACTGCCGGACCGGCCGGAGCACCGGCAACACGCGCTGACCTGAGTGATGAGTTCGCGGGGTCCGTCTGCATCTTTTGGCAGAGAAATGCCGTGACCCTGGACGTTGACGGGCCGTTCTGGGAATCATGGTCCCGGGGTCGGTGGCGCGTGCGTCTGTATTTCGGGTGGGACCTGCTCTGGGGATATGCAGCGCGGCACTTTCCAGAGGTCAGCAGCTGTGCCGTGCAGGAGAGGGGTTTCTGGACAAACACGTCCGCAGTGCAAACTCTCCTTTTCTGCGAATATTAGGGTATTTCAGTTAAGCGTTAGGATAGTTCCCTTCTCTTAAATTATTTCTGATCATGGAAACCTTTCTTTTGGAAAAAGAAAAATAAAGAAAGGAAGGGAGAGGCCCTCCCT